ATGACAATTGTTTATTTTTCGATAATTTATTGTTGTGTTTCAAATATTTTAATCAATTTTTTTCCAATTTTATCCGTTATTGGTGTTTTTGTTAATTGCCACCTTGACCACCTGCGCCTGCTTGTCCTCTAGCTCCACCGCCCATGTTAAATCCAAAACCGCCACCAGCACCAGCACCACCACCAGCGCCACCACCACCGCCACCTCCTTGAGCAGCACGACGATAACGACCTTCTATGCCTTTATGACCGGATGGATGAGGCATTGGGGCCGATTGTGGTGCTCCCTGCGCCTTTGCAGAGTGCTGAAAAAGGAATTTTGGAAAGTCAGTTGAATGCTTAATGTATGTAAATTAGGGTGGTACAAAAATGCATGTGGAAAAAGTAAAGTCGGAATTTTTATGCTCTCACTCCCGAGGATTGTTCTATACCCAAAAAAATATACCCCTGTTTTTTTATTTAGAAATTAAAGAATATTTAGAGGTCGCTCAAAGCGCTCAAAGTTTTCCATGTATTTGTATATGGGGAAAAACAACTTTTCGTAGAAATAGCATAGAATTCTTAGAAACCAATATTCTTCGATCGAAACGCTCTGCTTCTCTGCAGGAGATTCCCAGTAATAATACCCAATTGTCTATTTAACAATTTTTTCATCGTAACTATAATTTATAGGTCTGCCAAAAACCCACAAAAACCCCGAAAAATGCAATTAGAGGACCAATAAAAAATCGTTTGTATTAAAAAATGGTTAAATAAACAATTGGGCATTGTTATTGAAAGTCCTCTGAAGAGAACCAAAGCTTTCCAATCGAAAAATATTGATTTTCAAGAATTCTATACCATTTCTACGGAAAGGCGCTTTTTTTCCCATACAAAAATACATGGAAAACTTTGAGCGCTTTAACCGACCTCTAAATATTTTTTTATTTCAAAATGTAAATAATAGCGGTATACTTTTTTCGATATAGTACAATCCTAGGGGATGAGAGCATTATCAGACTTTACTGTTTTTGGACCACCCGAATGTACATACATATGGATTCGTTTAGAAATTGTGTACTTCAAAACTTGGTAGAGCGTTCGGATATTTTGTATCCTTATGAAAATATATATTTTTTTGTTGAAATTCTTATTCCACTTACCAACATTACGGCCAATGCGCAGCAAACCAAAACGATTATTGTTAGACCTCGCATGCTTTCAAAAACCTCTTTGGTAGACTCTCGTCAACTCAATACTACTTGCCGAGTGGTAGACCCACACTCACCTTTTATAGTCCTACTTTCAATGCAAAGTTTCGCAATGTGAAAATTTAACTCATTAAAAATAATCTCATGCAATAATCTTATGTGTGTGTGTGTGCGCATATCTTCGATTGACACGCAAATTTATTTTCGGACAACTACAAGATTAGTTGATATTTTGTGATAGCTCTGAGATAAACAAAAGTATGAACAAATTAAATACATTTTGCTAATTACACAATATGGATGACACAAGCAAAATAATGCCTTAATTGAATGCAAGTTTTAATCGGATGTTATTCATATGAACATTTTCAAAAGCAGTTATTTTTATTAATGTAATTACACCTAACTCTTTGTTTACACGGCAGATACGTTCTATAGAAAACCGTGAAAAAAAATCGTTTACAATAATACATGCGACCTATGGTAAGTTATGCCGAATTTCCACTAGGCATTGGAATGACAAAAAAGTGTTAAAAGAATTAAATGACTATTTTTTAAAAGTAATGATATTAAAATTTCTACCATTTAATGCCTAGTGGAAATCCAGCATTAGGCGATATGTTCCACAACTTAAAAATTCAATAAATATTTAACTAGCCATAACTGACCCTAACTTCAAAAAAACGCGAGCAACATTATTTTCATAGCACATGTAGATGAACTTTGAAAAAAAATGCCTGGCGTTTTTGGTCAGTAAAATATAACAAAGAAAATACCCGCGAAAATAGGATCGACACACACTATCTATTTGTCGATTTCAAAGCCGCTTTTGACAGCACGAAAAGAAGTTGTCCTTATGCCGCGATGTCTGAATTTGGTATCCATGCGAAACTGATACGGCTGTGTAAAATTACGTTGAGCAATACCACGAGCTCCGTCAGAATTGGGAAGGACCTCTCCGAGCCGTTTGATACCAATCGTGTGATTTCTTTAATCTGATGTTGGAGAAGGTAATAAGAGCCGCAGAAGTGAATCTCTCTGGCATAATACTTTACAAGAGCGTACAATTGCTGGCATATGCCGACGACATCGACATTATCGGTAAAAACAAGGGCTACCTACGTCTGTTCTGCCTTCTCGGGATTAGATAGAGCAGTAAAGCGAATGGATCTGGTGGTGAACGAGGACAAAATGAAGTATCTCTTGTCATCACACAAACAGTCAAAGCATGCGCGTCTTGCTACCCACTTCACAGTTACAAGTTTGAACCAAGTAGACGACTTCCTTTATTTGGGAACCAGCATTAAAACCGAAAATAATGTCAGCATGGAAATCCAACGCAGAAGCACTCTTGCCAACAGGTGTTACTTTGGACTGAGTAGGCAATTGAGAAGTAAAGTCCTCTCTCGTCGTACAAAGATCACACTCTAAAAGTCACTCATCATGCCTGTGCTGGTGTATGGCGCGGAGGTATGGACAATGAAAGCATCTGATGAGGCGGCTCTTGGAGTTTTCGAGAGAAAGATTCTGCGAAAGATTTACGGACCTTTACGCGTTGGTGATGGCGAATATCGCAGACGATTCAACGATGAGCTGTATGAGCTTTACAACGATGTAGGCATAGTACAGCGAATTGAAATTCAGCGGCTTCGCTGGCTAGGTACAAATGTCGTTCGGATGGACAGAAACGCTCCTGCTCTGAAAATATTCAATGCGGGCCGCGATGCTGGTAACAGAGGAAGAGGAAGGCCTCCTCTGCGTTGGAAAGACCAGGTGGAGAAGGACTTGGCTTCACTTGGCATTTCCAATTGGCGTCAGTTAGCACAGAAGAGAAATGACTGGCGTGCTGTTTTGGACTCGGCCAAAATCGCTTAGGCGGTTATAGTGTCAATAAAGAAGAAGAAAATATAACAAAATCTTTTACTGGTAAAAAATTATCACCAATTCCAATTATAATTCATTCACCTCAAATTTCACAAAAACAAGTAATTTTTAAGCAAAAAACAAAACCGACTTCAATTCTCATCTACAAACTTAAGATTACCGTTAATTTTCTTTATGATCCAATGATCGGATTTAAACCAAATTAGTATTAAAAATAGAATTATAGAAATCGGTTAACGTGATCCAAAGTTATGCGGAAACGTACATAAAAAAAATAAAAAATATTGCGACGAATTGATAACCTCCTTTTTGTGAAGTCGGTTAATAATAATTTCAAAATCAACTTTTACTTTACCGAAATTTTTATTTATTATGAACTGAACTTAACACAAAATAAATATTGTACTGAACCAAATGTTATGTTCAAGTTGAAGTACATCGATATAAACAAAAAAGTGATTATAAACTTCGGGTATTCCTCGTAACTCCAGGAATACAAAGTAAACAAGCCTTAACAAAAAATTCGTTTAAAAATTATATTGGGTTATTGTTATTTCAAAATCGTGTATGCAGTATTCTAGCCCATTCAATTCTAGTCTAATAAAGTTCAAGTTTCAAGTAGCTAAAAATTACCGTTGGTTTTTGAGATTTCTTTTTGCTAGGATGCTGTACATTTTCTTCTTATTAAAATAGATTTTGTTCATGCGAAAGAACGACAGTTTCTAAAAATTCAGAAATCGAAATAACGCCTTTTAAGTTTTTGGCCGGTTATTTTCTCAATCTTCAAGCCGTCTTTTGTTTCATTTTGAAGGATTCTTGTTAGGTTAAGTTGACGCTATGTATCCACTACTCAATGGCCAATCACAAGTTACAAAGGCGGCTAATATTAAGCCGTGGTTATAATTTGTGACCCAATATTCGTGAATCTAAGCCTCGCGAAAGCTAAGTGTTGGCATCAGTTGGCACACAAGAGAAACGACCAGCGTGCTTTATTGGACTTCGTCAAAATCGTTTATTTGATTACAGTGGCAAACAAGAAGGAGGGAAAGTGGTGTTTCTACTTCACCATCCTCCGAGCAACTTCGGGTTGAGGTTTTTAGTCTCACAGCGAAGGAAAAATAAGCAGGAGCTGTGCTTTTGTAAGCATAAGGAGTTCCTTTGACTGCTACTGATCTACACTGGGCCAGAAGAGCTTTGTAATTGACCATACCGTAGTTTTCCCCAAACGTTCGCTAACGTGACACGATGATCCTCTGTCAAAGAGTAAGTTTAATCAGTGACGTTCCATGTCCGGTGATATCATTGAAAGGTAACCCTTTCCAGCTAACTCGCCAGGGATGTAGTTTTCCACAAGGTATGGTTGAAAAAAATTGAAAATATTCCCACGCAATCAACAGAGAGGTCTGCCACCATCTGTCCAGTCACGAGGTAACCCTCAGTTAGGCCAGGGTTCTCATTTCCGCTTATCTATCTGTTCTTATCTGCGGACAAAACCGTATAAGACGCAGCTATAGATGTTTGAGCGGCATGGGATAGGTTAAATTTTGTCGACTTGGGTTACCCAAAGCGACTAAACAAAATGGTAGCAATAGTTTTCACAATAAGATAGCATATCCTGATACTAATACAAATTAAGTTACTCTGTGTAACACTACATAGTTGAGTTTTTATATGGGGCCACAACCAGCGCAACAACAAATACTAAAACTCCTGAGAGGTAAGTCAACCCTAAGTAATTGTGTTTCACCTCAATACAAAACAGTTGTTTCGCTCGGTTAGGGCTTATATAGACGGACACCGAAGCCAAGTGGGCAATATTTTAAAAATTTTGCTAAGTCAAATCATGCACTTTTTGTTATGCGAAACAAGAAAATTTCCAAAAAAAGTCTTTCAGTCGATTATTTACACAAATGAAATCCTTAAATAATTCTCTCTGTACTGCTCTGTTTTATTGCATTAAATATTTTTTCATAACTTCCTTTAGCACATTGCTTTACTAATGGCCTCCATGGCCACCTCCACGTCCGCCTCCTTGAGCGCCGCCACCCATATTACCTCCCATGCCAAAACCCATACCAGCACCGGCGCCAGCGCCGCCATCAGCACCACCACCGCCTCCTTGTGCAGCACGACGTGCACGACTTGCAAAGGCACTAGTGCCAGGCATTTGCTGCATTGGAGGCATCTGCGGCATTTGAGCGTTCGTCGAATGCTGGAAAGAAAATATACTTTATGGTAAGTACTCCATACCATGAAGAGGCATATAACTTATGGAATAGTTATCCTTTATTGAATCCTCGTCAAAATATGCCTACATACCAACATCACCGCCAAAACTGCGCAAACCAAAGCGACCAAAGTTAGAGTTCGCATTATTTTCGTAAAAATTGTTTTCTCACTTTCTGGGATTGTAGTCAATTCAGCACTACCTGTTGAATTTGTCACCACAGTGACTTTTTATAGTTTTGCTTCTGCATGAAAATTTCACATAATACAGATCTAATCTTATTAATTGATATAAATGCATACAAAAGTTTGCTTGCACTTTGTTATTACATATTCTGCAATAATTTGAGATAAAGTCAATTGAATATTTTCTAACTAACATGCAATCCCGCATTTAATTGCTTAGTTAAAAATATAATAAAACTTTTTCGATTTATTAATATTCTAGCAAATATGTATAGATGGGATGACAATATTTTTCAGTATTTGCCCTGTACAATCTTATATATAAAAATATGTGCACGTTTTTGGTGTGACCTCATAACTTGAGTACGGCTTCACCGAATTCAACCAAATTTATGTGGCATATTCGATCTATCATGCAGATGGTTTATGCCAAGTTTGTCCGAATTCAGAAAAGGGGGCGTGGCACCACCCTTACTAACTAAAATATAAAAATAAGTGAACGTTTTTGGTGTGACCATATAACTTGAGAACGGATTCACCGAATTCAACCAAATTTATGTGACATATTCGGGCTATCATGCAGATGGTTTATGTGAAGTTTGCTTGAATTCGTAAAAGGCGGTGTGGCACCTCCCATACTAACTAAAATTTGTATGTGGTATATCTCTTGAAATATTTGTGGTAGAGTACTAAAAATTGGTATAGGAATATCAAATAATTCCATACTCATGGAGAAAAATTGGCCGTATTGGAAAAGAGGGCGTGGCACCTCCCATCTTATATATAAAAAATAAGTGCAAGATTTCAACCAAATTTATACGACATAGTCGGGCTATTATGCAGATGGTTTGTGTTAAGTTTCCCCGAATTCGGAAAAGGGGGCGTGGCACTACCCATACTAACAAAAATTTTCATCTGGTATATCTCTTGAAATATTTGTGGTGGACTTCTGGAAATTGGTATAGAGACATAAAAAAAAACTAAATACTCATAGAGAAAAATGTGCGGTATTGGAAAAGGGGGCGTGGCACCTCCCATCTTAAATAAAAAGATAAGTGCACGAATTCTACCAAATTTAAACGGTATATTCGGACTATCATGCAGATGGGTTATGTGAAGTGTGCCCGAAATCGGTCCAGCGGTTCTTGATATATGACAGTTTATGTCTGTAACATGAACAACGCGTATGGTACAACAGCAGATACATGAAAAATCGAAAACATAGTGAAAAATTGTTGCTATGATGTGCTGTGTTTATTTTTTCTTTGGAACAATTAAGTCAAGTATAAACATGGCTGCAATATAGTTCTCAATTAGTAATTGATTTTTGTTTTTAACATATACGATTTAAAAACAACAAAAACAGATGGTTTTATTTCAACCCGGCCTTGAGCTCAAAAAAATCAATATAATAATTAATTGAATTTATTTCAACAATTTTGCACAAATTTGTTGCATCATTTCGTACGAAAAGTTGGAGAACGTAGTGGAAAATTGTTGCTATAATGTGCTGTGTTTATTTTTTCTTCGGCTTGATTACATTGCCGAAGAGTTTTTGTACAATTCTCCAATTAAAAGAAAAATTGATTGAACGCGTGCTTCCAAATATTGCTCAAAATTACCTGGATGACGATTGGTTCAGAGAACGCGCAATACTGGTACCAAAAAATTTACATGTAAATTCAATCAATTATCAAATTCTAGAAAAATTGCCAGGTGAAGTGAGAATATATAAATCTCTTGATAGTGCAATGAATCAAGATGACGCAGTGAATTATCCAGTTGAATTTTTGAATTAATTGGAACCGCCTGGTATGCCACCACATTGTTTGAATTTAAACGTCGGCTCATCAATTATTTTACTACGGAATTTAAATGCTCCAAAACTGTGTAATGGCACAAGACTGGCAGTAACAAAATTGATGGCGAATTTAGTTGAAGTAACAATACTGACTGGCAAAGCAAAAGGTGAAATTGTGCTCATACCGCGTATTCCACTGATAACAACAGACATGACGTTTGGATACAAGTGTTTGCAATTCCCAGTGCATCTAGCATTTGCCATGTCCGTCAACAAGTCGCAAGGACAAACTCTTCAAGTATGCGGATTGAATTTGGAGGAGCCGTGCTTTTCGCACGTGGCCTGTTCAAGAGTTGGCATTCCAAATTGTTTATTTATTCATACCCCAGATGGAAAAACAAAAAATGTTGTGTATCCAAATGTGTTGGATTAATATTTAAAATAAAGAATCAAAAATTTTGAAATAAAACAAATGATAAATTTTCATATAGACAATTTCCAGGATTATTCACTCATTTTTCGATATTATTCAATATTTGGTGTAGAGAAGCACACCGGGGTACCGCTAGTTTTTTATAAAAATATTGCATATTCCACAACAGAAACCACGTTAGTCGGATTTTAAAACTTATGCAAAGGGGTGGGGTGTGCTAAATATTCAAATGGGCAGCAGTGTATAAGTTAGCAATATTTTTTGAAAAACTTCGGGTTTTGTTTTTTAGGTTGGCGTTGCCTGCCATTTTCTTCCATACAAAAGTTTGGTCGAGCTACTTTGTATGGAAGAAATGGGTGGCACTGTCAGCAAAAAATGCTAAAAATCAACGGTATTTTGCAGCCACTCGAAACTTGCACTTGAATAGAGAACAATAGAATTTCTCAAAAAATATTATTAACTTATACACTGCCAGTCACTTGGATAGCGCACCCCTTTGTTGATTATCTTTTTTTTATTTGTATAAGGTTTGAAAAAGGGATTTACATGGTTTTTGTTGTATAATATGCTACATTTTTATAAAAAAATATTAATAGCAGTGTTTTTTACACGCATATACATCTAAGCTTAACGTGTAAAAAAAACAATCATCGACAATTTCCATTTCAAAACAAATAATTTTGATTTTATCGATAACTATTCGTAAGCTCACAAAAAGTTTGTCGCTTAGAGCTCCATACAATAAGCGCAGATACGTATGCATGTAAAAAAACACGCCTATTTAATATTAATAAAACAAAAGCAAAGCTGTAAATACGGAGGATCAAAAGGGTGCGATATTCAAGTGGAGCAGAGAGTAAGTAGTTGGTAATATGAAATTGCATATGAAATTGCAGTTTTATCACACTCAAAAAAAGGCTATCATAAAAAAATTTAGCTTAAACATCTAAACATCTGTTAGTTCCCTAAAAAAAATAATGACACTGATGCGGGATGAGTTCTGGATTAGTCCTAAGTTAATATAGGGATTTCTTTATATGGAATGAGGTACATGTTCCTTTTGTTCCAGCATTTCCTAAGAGTATGAAAAGCGACTAGTCAGTTTTAGTTGCTGTTTTGAATGCTCCTACCGTAATCCAATAAACAATTGTTATAAATTGTCAACAAAAATACATGCGACCGCTAATTATTGTACATCATCCGTGTGCGTGTGTGAATAAAATAATATTCTAATCAAATACCTAACTAATTAGCAAAAGTATCTATGGAATTTTTATTTTCAATATGCTATAAACATTGAAGGTGTTACTATTAAACAAAACATGTTTATCTAAAAATTAATTTTAATTGTTTTGTAAGCATTTTGTAGCGGCTAAAATGCGAGATATTGATCTTGTTATTTACTCTGGAAACGCAAGCTTGTGTGTTGCACGAATGCGATTGTAGCTCAGTAGATGATTTTTACAAAAACATACTTTAACCCTCAATTATACTTCTACTTATTGAGTTTGTAATTTTCCTTCTACAGGAACAACTTGGTTACATCGTCTTTAGTGGCATACGCAAAGTGAATGGCGCCAATGGTATACGTATTATTGTACAATCCTCGAAGCATCCGTCATTCGTTGAGGACCGCATTGAAAGTTTCTTGGAAAATTATTTGGTAGGCATGCAAAAAATAATATAAATACAAAATTTTTATTAAAATACATTTCATATGTTCTCATCATAGAAAGTCATGGAGGAAATGCCTTTGGACGAATTCGAGCGCCACAAA